ATAACTGTTTCGGTCTGCCTCTCTAACCTTGGACACGTTACTTAATCTTTCTGAGCCTGAGTTTTTCCGTCTCTAAACTCTAAAGCAGATGACATAAGTTTCAGGGCCAAGCACTAAGTTTAAGACATACAGGTGCTCAGCACACTACCACTCTGCAGACACTCCCCACCATGTCACCCAGGCCCCTGGACCTCAACAAGTCCCAACCCAGCTCATCCTCTTCCCCCCACCTTGCCCTCAGCTATCCCCACTGCCACCCCGGAGGACCTAGCCAAGTCGTGGCTATCCCATGGGACCCCTCTGTCCTTGTCCTCAGCTGTCACCAAGTCCTGACCGCCGTGCCCCTCAAACACTGACCCACCTGTCCAGGTCTCCCCACTGCGTGTGTCCCGGGCCCTCCATCTCTCCGTTCTCATCAAGCCTCCTGAGGAGTCACCCTGCCCAGTCTCTCTCCTCTTTGCTTCCACCTCCCACAGCCAAGCCATCCTAGCCACCAGAGAGAGGTCCCAAAATGCTGTCAAGTCACTGGTTTAAAATCTTCTGGTGGCTCATCGCCTTTAGGATGAGGCCCAGCCAGCCTCTGTTTCAGCTGTCGAATTAGTCCTTCCTGCAGCCTAGCTCGCTGCAGGGGCTCTGTGCCCTGATGCCAAATGGCTGGCCCTCTTCCCCATCTGCCCTGGTGACTCCCGCTTCAGGGCTGGCTCAGGCGCTAGCTTCCCCAGGAAGTCTTCTGGTGGCACCTGCTGGGTTTAAACTTTTCTAGCTCTTCAGTCCCCCTGCTTCTGTTTTTCTTGCCTCCGGGGGAGCCCAGTAACTAGAGGGCACTCAGGCCTAAGAGATTAGCACGTAGGAGGGTGAGGCAGAGTTTAAACTCCCCTTCAACTAAGCAAGACTCTACCCCAGGCCTCAAGGCTGCCCTAGGCTCAGCTGTGCCCTGCAGAGGGCTTAGGTCTGGTGGGTTCTTCAGGACCAGGCAGGCAGCAGCCAGGGTTCATTCAGTCTTTACTGCTGCCCTCTTGCCTGCCTTGGGCTCTATGGGACATGCACCTCTCTCCTAACCAAATTATTATGACCATCTGTTCTTCCAGCGTTTCATTAGCCCCCTGAAGCAAGGCCTGCAGCCTCAAGAGCCAAGCCCAACAGCAGGCTTCATTCTTTCTGCACGCTTCCTTATGGCAACGAAAGTGCTTTCCTAGCCCTGCTGCAGCCTCGAGGGTTTTCGTCCCCGGAGCTGAGAGCAGCTTCTCCTGGTCTCCTCTGCTCCCAGCCTCTGCACGGCAGCCTGGGATGCTCTGAGCTGCACCCCTAATGGGACCCTCTCCTCCTGGGAACCATCAAGGGCACCCCTGATGGCCTCCCATGCCCAAACCCACCCTGCTCCAGGTGCACAAGCCCACTCACTGCTCTTATTTGCTGGCCTGGTGCAGGCTGGTGCCCGCCTTTCTCAGGCAACAGCTCCTCCCGGCAGGCAACAGCGCAGTCAGGTGTCTCTGTCTTGTCCCCAAGCCTAGTTTAGTGTAGCCTTGCACGTGGCTTGAGGATGAAGCAGAGGAGGGTGAGGCAGGGTCTTTCCCTCCCTGGCACCTGTGCACCTATACCCAGGATCTGTTGTGTGCCTACCATGGGCCAGCCTATACTGTTTCCTGTTGGCTAGGGCCTCTATGTGGCTATGTTGGGCCAGAGACCACAGAATGTTGGAAGCAGAAGGCTTCAGACTGCCACCCGGGAGCTTGGGCTGTGCAGCTGACTGCCACCAGGTGACACAGTCCCAGAGCTCCAGGACACTACAGCATGTTCCATGTGGATCCAACCTTGGCTTTGTCACTCCTTCCCTGGGGGAGCTTGTCTGCCACCCAACCTAGAGGAAGACCATTCTTTTTTTCTTTTTCTCTTTGTTTGGTCCTTTTGAGACAGGGTCTTACTATGCAGTTCAGGCTGGTCTTGAGCTCACTTTGTAGCCCAGGCTGATCTCAAACTCACAACGATCCTCTTGCCTTAGCGGCCTCCTGAGTGCTAGGATTACAGGTGTGTACCACCACTCCCAGCCAAGAGGCTGTTGTGAGTTGGGTCCCCCTCCATGCCCACACAGCAGACCAGGTTGGGGGCTGCATGGACCACAGCCTGAGGCAGCCCAGTGACATTCTCTTTTACACTTCATTGTGGTGGGCACTTGCCAGCCCATGCGATGAACTCTGTCACTACCCTTACATGTTTCCCTGGTGCTGCTGGATTGTCCTTGAGATGTCCCCTGTGCTGCTTGCCACTGAACTCTAGTCTTAGGCCCCCCACCACAGAGCCTCGGCTTTCCTTCTGAAAATGGAGATACTATCTCTTATCATTCAGAGTCGGGAGGCACAGAAGAGGTTCATGGGGTAAGTGGAGGACGGCGTTGCCCCCTGTCTTTGGGAAACACCCCACTGCCATGTCCTGAGTCAGCTGAGGGAGACTTGGTGGAGGCTCCAGGCCCAGAGCCTGTGCCCTACCCTGAAAGCCCTTGCTCTGCCATCTGGTCTCAGCTTTTTGCTGCCACCCTGACCCCTGGGCTGTAGCAGGTGGCAGGCTATGGTGAGGACACCCCCCCAACAGCTGGGAGATATTGGGGGAGACATGGGGGCCACAGGGTCTCAGGCCTTAGCCCCAAAGGTAATTAATATACATGACTGCTGTGTGGTAAGGAAGGGAGGAAGGTGTGTAGCTCGGAAACCATCTAGACTGATTTATTGGTTAATTAGTGGTTTCCACAGCCACAGACTTCCTCAACTGTGACGTGGTTAGTGTGGGAGGGGACCATAGGGCTGTCCAGGCACAGGGAGGGCAGCTGGTACCCAACCCAGGCTTGGTGTCTCTCTGGAGCCAGAAGCATCAAGTGCTGAAGGAACAGGGCAAGGTGTCTGGGCCAGGGTTGGACACAGAGTTGTGTGCCCAGGGAAGCCCAGCTGGCCTGCGCCTGGGAACCACACAGAACTTCCTTTAGGATGGGAACAGGGCGTGCACTGAGATTTCTAGAGTCAGGTGTGGAGAGCTAGGGAGCTGCAGGCTTAAAAGAGTGAAGCAGGAGGAACCAAGAAAAACTGTAGAAACCACGGGAACAGAGAAGAGGCCCCAGAGGTGGAAAACAAAGGCCACTGCGTGACGTTAGCCACGGGATTGAATCCAACGTCTAGGGAACACTGGCTATGTGACCTTACGTTGGACAAATCACTAAGCTCTCTGGTCCTTGATGTCTACATTGGTAAAACGTGGCTGAAACTAGCTCTTTTTATATTAACCCAGCACACACAGTGACAGTTTCACGAAGATGTACTATTAGCTGCTAGGATTAAATCACATAGGCCAGCGTTTAGGACCAAGAAAGGGCCTGGTAACAGGCGGTAGAGGAAGCAGGGACTGGAAGGTACCCTCCAGGTAGACAGGCAGAGGCTGCTCTCCTGCCAGGCCGGCTTTGACACAAGCTGGGGCTCAAGCCAGGGACACTGCACTCAGCTGAGTAAACCCTTGCACTGCCGCCCAGGGGGATCCGTTGGGCTGAAGCCTGAACAAGTCGGGCCACCCCCTGAATGCTCTTCGGAGGGCTCCTGCCATGGCCTGGCCCTCTCGCCCAGTGCCGTCTGTCCGCGGGAAAAAGAAGTGACAGATGAAGGACACAGCAAGAGTGCAGACAGGCAAGGTTTACTCGTGTTCTAGGGCAGGCAGGGCTCTCGACGCGCCTCTGCGGGGTGCTGGCTCGCCCCTGGGCTCTGCGCCCCAGGCGCCCCCGGCCGACAACGCCAACCGGGGCCCAGCGTCCCCAGGGCGGCCAGAAGCGCCCGAGGAAGCGGGGCGGACCCGGCGGAGCGCGCGGCGGGCCCCGGGCGGGCAGCACGAGCGGTGGCGGCGGCGGCGAGCGCAGGGCCACAGGCGGCGGAAGCGCGCGCGGAAGTGGCGCGAGGCCAGCGCATAGACGATGGGGTTGAGGCAGGAGTTGGCGTAGGCGAGGCAGTGCGAGGCCAGGCGGCAGGCGTAGGTGGCCGGGCTGAAGGCGAAGCGGCCGTACCAGAAGCAGAGGATGAGCGCGTGGTGCGGGCCCCAGCAGAGGGCGTAGAGCGCGGCCACCGCCAGCATGGCGCGCCCCGCGCGGCCGGTGGCCCTTCGCCTCGCCTCTGCCGCTGCCGCGCCCGCGGGGCCCACGGCGGCCCACAGGAAGCGCAGCGTGCGCCCGTAGGCCAGGCTCACCACGGCCACGGGCAGCAGGTAGCCCGCCGCGAAGGTGGCCACGTCGAGGGCTCGGCGGCGCGCGTCCTCCCAGGCGGGCACGCAGAGCTCGAGCGCGCCGTAGCGCACCGTGCCGTAGTAGCTGAGGTAGGGCGCGGAGAAGAGCGCCGCCAGCAGCCACACCAGCCCCACGGCGGCGCGCGCGTTGCGCGGGGTGCGCAGGGCCCGCGAGCGCAACGGGTGGCGCACAGCCAGGTACCTGCGGGTGACAGGCGGGCGGTGAGCGCGAGCGCGACGGACGGACCACTCTGCTCTGGCCTCGCATCCAGGCCTAGCGCAGGGGACCTGGTCCGTGATGGGACTTGGGTCTCCTGAACAGTAGCTGGTGGTTGTGAGGCTTCAGGGCAGAGGCAAGCAGAGAGCACGGGGCAGTATCTGGCACCTAGCAAGGGCTGAATGGCTGTTAGATATTGTTCACCACAGTCTTTCCCGTGGGAGCCAAGCGAGGCACCGAGGGAAGTGACTCAGACCAGGGAGTGAGCCTGGATCGGGCACCATGTTCCAAGCCAGGGAGCCAAGTCTGGCCACAGCCTAGGTCAGATGCGGGCAGTTATAAAGTATCTCTTGAATGCATTGTGTTTCTTTTGGTGTTCTCTTGATACTTACAGAGCACCTACTATGTGCCAGGCTGTGTGGTGACATGGAACACAGAGGTGGCCTCTGTAATCTGATGGTGGGGGTGGGGGAGGGCAGGATGGTCCCCACGTGCATGTCCTGCAGGGCCCAGAGAGTGTTCCTTCCCTGCGTCCCACCTTCCTTTGTAAGCTATGTGTCCGGGTCTTCCCTCCCCAACCCTCCCTCTCAGCGCACCTGTCCACTGAGACGGCAGCCAGCGTGAAGCTGCTGGCGTACATGGTGAGGTAGATGAGTAGGTGCACAGCTTTGCAGACGAGGGCCCCGAAGAGCCAGGCGTCCAGCGTGTAGATGGCAGCCTGGAAGGGCACGCAGCACAGGATAAAGCAGAGGTCGGCCACTGCCAGGTTGAGGATGAATAGATCCGTGGTGCTGCCCGGCTCCTGCCAAGCACTTGGGCCAGGCTGAAGCAGCACAGCCAGTACCAGCCCATTGCCCACTGTGCCCAGCAGGAAGATGAGGGCAAAGACCACAGGGACAGCCACGGCCCCCACATTCCCTGGGTTATCCAGTGAAATGTTCTGGGCATCAGCCATCTCCCCATCAGACAGCACCTGGGGAAGGAAAAGTCCTCAGGCAGGAGCCCCACCTCTAGTCACTTGGCCTGGGGCCCAGGGTCCCAGCCTGATGTGGCCAGGTATCCTGGGCAGGAAGCTCTTTGGGAGCTAGGAAGTTGAAGGGAATGGAGAGCAAACCCAAGAGTCACTGCTCAAACCTACAGAGTGATCAAGCCACCCCAACACATTAGTGTTTTGGAGTGGTTGGGTACAGTTCCTCAGTTTTCTGGGAAACTTAGTCTGGGTCATGAATAGATATCAACTCAAGAGGCAGCTGGGGACCAGCAAGATGAAGACCTGGAAGATGGGGGAGGGGCTGCAAAAATACAGGAGCTGGTGGAGATGCTTGGGAGACCCTTGGACATGAATCCTAGCTATGAGCTGTAGCCTCAGTAAGACACAGGTGACCTTGCCATCACTGGGGAGTCCAGTCTAATGGTATTCCCATGATGGCCAAACTAGGAACACCAGATAGGTCACTGCCGGCTTTTACACATTGAAAATTGAGGCCCAGGGAGGGGACATGGGTGGCTGGTAGCACACTTTGGTGACAGATCGGAGGCTGCTGCCACCGGGGTATTCTGACTGCATGCTAACAGGAGGTGCCTCTGGTGGCCTGCGTGTGCGTGTGTGTTCTCACCCTCCTCAGCGCTACATCACCCCCCACCTGTGGATCCCCTGACTCACCTGGGAACGGGACTAACAGGGTCAGGAGTGGGGGCAGGGAGGAAGGAAAGCAGGCAGTGTCTGTCCCCACCCAGCACCCAGCAGGTCCCCAAAGCCCAGGCTGGGCATCACCCACCTCAGTCCTGGGCACTGAGCTGCAGATTGGTCCTGGGTGGAATGGCCAGGCTGGGGTGCCTCCTGGCCCAGCGACTGCCCCTTGGTGGTACCCTGCAGGTCCAGTCTTCCTCCTACCTCTCCTTCTTCTCCTCTAAGCCCCCTCCCAACCCACTTGCCTGCTGGGTTGGACTTGGGCACTCCTGGAGTGGCCTCGGGCCACCTCCTCCTCAGCCCGTGATTTCCCCTGGGTGGCATGCTCTTCTGCTGGGCTCTTCTCTGCGTCGTTGCTGCGCTCTCCTTGGAGCGCAGGGAGTAACCCATTGATCTCGCTCTCTGAGATTGGCTTCATGGTTAACCCCTGCACAACCGGTGCCCAGCCCATCCCCAGCACTCCCACCTTCCTGTGGCCCTGCCCACAACTCCACCTCTCCCCCTCCCCTCCCTGCTCCAAGTAGGGCTCTGATCTGAATTTAGAAGGCATTCCTAGTTTTTCTTTTTTCCTTTTTTTTGTGAACTGGGGATTGAACTCAGGCCCTTGCTTGCCAGGGAAGCGCTTATTCTACTGAACCATCTCCTGGGCCCCCTAGATTTTTAAAAAGATTTTATTCTGCAAGCAAAGTTGGCTTCTTAGGTATATAATATGTGCAGTCACCCAGAATCCTGAGTGTAGGAGGGGCCTTCTAATCTGTTTAATGTTCTTCTGTCTTGGAATTCTTTGGTGCTGGGAATTGAACCTAGGACCTTGCACTTGTCAGGCAAGTGCCATTCCACTGAACAGTATCCCAAGCCCAGAATTCAGTCTTTAAATCCAGCCTCCCCTTCCCCCCACCCAGGGGCTGGGGAGATGGCTCAGTGGAATAAGCACTTCTCTGGCAAGCACGAGGACCTGAGTTCAATCTCCGGTTCTGAAAAAAAAAAAAAAAAAAAAAAAAAAAAAAAAAAAAAAGAATCTCTTGTCCAGGCAAATACTAAAAAGGTTACCAGATCTTGGTGAGTGGCTGTGTGACAACCTCAGAGCAGTGGCCATTAGGACAAAGGCTTCCAGAAGTTAGAGGGCTGGCTGCACTTGGGAACATGGTCCATGGGACTTAGCCACCAGGAGGCTGTAGTAGCCCAGACAGGTGGTAAGGACATGAGGCAGTCTGGTGAGCTAGGAAGGGCCAGGGTTTTTCTACAAGGGGTTGGAGGGCCATCCGCAGGAGGTGTGAGAGGGGAGAGGTCACTGCAGGGGCATGGGCAGAGTGCTGAGATGCCCAAGTTGGGGAAAAACCCTTCAGGACCTGCCCTTCCTCCTGAAGTTGTGCACCAAGGCTGACTGAGCAGCCCCGAGTCACTCACCAAAGATGCAGAGAACCCTCTAGTTTTTGGAAGCAGAGACTCACTGAATAGAAGGCAGTAGGAATCAGACCTCAAGTCTCCAAGCTTAATTCTGAGCCATTAGAACTGTGGCATCTTATGATCCCTGAACAAGGGAATTTGTAATTATACGACACAAGACTGTAGTAGTGTGGTGAATCAAGGGTACTAATATATCTTGAGAAGCCTGGACACCTGCGTGTGTACCCCTAAACTCCAGGATCATCTGCATTAGCCCCTGAAAAACTGGAGATTCAGGATAGGCTCTGTACACCCCTCCCCAAGTGGGAGGCCCCTCCCTGGGGTTGGGCTCAAACTGCTCCAGGGCAGAGTTCCAAGAGGCAGTGAACAGCCAAACTGAACCATACTAGAGGAGGACAAGGGAGAAGTGACTCCGAGCATGCTCCCTCTGGACAGGTAGTGGACTCTAGTGTGTACCTGCTCTTTCCTTGCTCCTGCTGCTGTCCCTGATGGCCCAGGCTTGAAGCTGGTGCCCATCACAGAGGACCAAGACAGCCTGACTGGGAGCAGCTCCCAGAGTTCTTGGCTTCACCGGATGCAGATCGCAGCTAAGGCAAAGCAGGAGCTCTTTCCCTGTGCACCTTGTTGTAGGCCGCAGGCACCAGGAGCATGCATGAAGCTCAGGCACGGGTGCCCGGAAAGGCTGCTGTGCCTGCTTGATGGTTTCGGCAGCTCCTGGATGGCAGTGGAGCCTCCTGTCTGGTGGACCCCTGCCAGGTCGCTGAGCCCAGAGCTGACCTGGAGCCAACAGCTGCTAGGGGCTCAGGTTCTCTGTGCTGCTTGGGTGGGGGCAGGGCACAGCGCAGGCAGCCACTTGTGTAAAAGGCTAGCCCCCTTGTCCTGGCCTTGCTGGGTCTGCCACACCAACCAACGCAAGTCACCCCATGCTGTTCTTAGCCACCGAACATGACTCGCTGGTCACCACAGACCACCTATAGGAGATGAACCACTGGCAGAGTCCCGGCTCCCGTGTATACATGGCCTTCAGCCAGGAGCCTGGCAATGATATGGCACAGCTGTGGCACACGCACCTGGCTGTGTCCCTTCTGGCACCGGGAGGTCCTGGATCCCAGCCTTGAGCTCCTCTGGACCCAATGCCCAGATTCCCAGAACCCATCTTTTTTTTTTCCCAGAACTCATCTTAAAGCAACTCTATCCCAAATGCTGGCAGAGGAGTGGGTGCCCGAGATGTGGGCCCAGATTCCTGTCCTTCACGAAGGACCTTGTCATCCTGTCCTACTGCAAGCAAACCATAAGCTTTCCAAGGCCACACCACACCAAGGCCTCCCCCACCCACGCACACTCAAGGTTGAGCAATGCAGACCCTCCCCCTGAAGCACTAGGACCACGGGCAGCGCCTGTGGGAAGAAGGCTGGCGCTTTCTATACTGGAGCAGCCACCTCTTGCTAGAGACAAGGATTGATGGAGCCTTGGCAACAGCAAGTCAGCCCTTCAGTCTTGCCTGCGAGCTGCACAAACACCTTGGTCCCACACCCGCCCCAATGGAGGAGGCGGGGCAGACGGCGGCAGCAGCTGAGGTCGTTGCGCCCCCTGCCGGCCCATCGTCAAACCACAGAACTTAGAATGGGCGAGATAGAAGGGCCTACATCTCGGTGTAAACACACACACGCACACACACACCACACGCACGCACACAATGAGGGCCTGCTGAGGGAGAATAAAGCAAACCAAAGTTTCCCAGCCGGTGTCCACGCTGTTTTTTCATTAATGGCCACAAGCACAGCCATCTTGAAAGCTCAGCCCTTTTGGTGAGGGGTCAGACCCTCTTGGCTTGGTCAGAGGCCCCCTTTCCCCTAGGGGGCAACTGGGGCTTCTCTGCTCTGCTGTTCCCACCAGAGCTCAGGGCAGCACTCCATGCAGCCGCCCCACCTCGACAAAGGCCTCCACGCAGCGGTCAATGTCTTCTTCGCTGTGTACTGCTGAGATCTGTACCCGGATTCGGGCCTTGCCCTTGGGGACTACTGGGTAGCTGAATCCGATGACAAAGATGCCTGGGAAGGCAGAAAAGAAGGGCTCACTGCAGCCAGACAATTGGGGGGCATGGCACACAGGGGCTACCTTCTTGAGGCCCATGGAGGACAGCACGGGGTAAGGAGTATGTATGACCTTTGCTCTTAGGACCCCCACCAGTCCTTTAATTCCAGCTTCCTTTCATTCATTTATTATTATTATTTTTTTATTTTTTGGCGGAACTAGGGATTGAACTCAGGCCCTTGTACTTGTCAGGGAAGCACTTATTCTACTGAGCTATCTCCCCCGGCCCCTCATTCATTTATTATTATTGTTATTATTATTATTTTATTTATTTATTTAGCGGAACCAGGGATTGAACTCAGACCCTTGCGCTTGCCAGGGAAGCGCTTATTCCACTGAGCCATCTCCCGGGCCCCTTTCATTTATTATTGAGAGGTAGGGTGTCACTGTAGTTCAGACTGGCCTTGAACTCACTGTGGAGCACAGGCTGGCCTCAAATTCCTGGCCATTCTCCTGCCTCAGCCCTCCCACCAGTGGGATTACAGGCATATACCATGCCAAGCTTATTTTTAATTTTTTTTGTATGTGATGCAAAGCCAGGGCCTAGGGCATGCTAAGCGCGTGCTGCCTCTCACCTCGCTTTAGCATATCGTCCGCCATGAGGGAGGCGAGCCGGGCATCTCCCAGCATCACAGGGCAGATAGGATGATTGGCTCCTGAGATGGTGAAGCCAGCAGCTTCCATCTTAGTGCGGAACCTAGGGGCACAGCTGGGTGTCAAAGGTAGCTGGGGGGCCACAGAGCACCCATACCTGCTCCTCAAGGGTACACGGCCCAGGACTTAGGTCCAGGTCTACCAGAGGACACAGGAAGGG